CTGGTATGAATTGGGGGGAAACCTCACACTTTTTTTTTTCATCTTCTGCAGACTGTAAAAAAAAAAATCATTTTGCTGCAACAGAATTCGTCCAATAACGAATTTTGTTGCATCAAAATTACATTAGGGGGAACAAAAATGACTTTTTTTTTTTTACAGTCTGCAGAAGATGAAAAAAAAAAAGCGTGAGGTTTCCCCCCAATTCATACCAGACCCTTTAGGTCTGGTAGGAATGTTAGGAGAATGCCAATTCAAAAGCAAAGGAAAAAAAAAAACTTTAAACATTACTTGACTTGCTCTGGATTTGGACCTGGGACCTTAGCAATGGCAAGCCTGCCCTCTAACCACTACTCTATAGCCTCTGTACTTTAAGCATAGATGTGTTGTAGAGGTAAAATGTTGTCATTTTTTTTCCCCTAATGTCATTTTGCTGCAACGAACTTCGTCCAATAACGAATTTCGGGAAATCGGGAATTTTGGATTCGTTTGCATTCGTCTTAGCTGTAATTCGGAATTCGGATGCATCCGAATCTCCGAATTTCCGAAAATTCGTCCGAAACGAATTTCGGAACGAACCGAATCGCACATGTCTACTGTTTAATACTTTTTGCATAACCTGTCAGTCGCTGTATACAGTGCACACACTACTGCTCTGTCCCGTCTCCTCCTGCTCCACCGCCTGCCGCTTACTTCCTGTTCATATTAGTCAGCCAGGCTGCCGGTTTCTGTGCAGCCCGTCTGCATTTTTGCCGCCCCCCTGAAATCTGCACCCGAGGCAAACACCTTGTTTGCCTCGCGGCAGATACGCCCCTTGATCGTACCTACAAAAACTGATGCACAGGGAAGGTGTGATAATGATTTTTGTAGCTTATCCCTGTTTTAATTAACCTACACCTAGTGACAGTGTAAGCGACATAGGATCAACAAGGTCATAAACAACAGTAAAACTACATTTAGTGTGATTGGGAAAGTGTAGGTTTATACTGTTGCTTTTGCTCCCACTGGCAATATTCCTCATTCCTCTCACTTCCTGTCTCAGTGACAGTGGTTGCCAAGACAGGAAGTGAGAAATCTGCTTAACAAACACAGTTGGCAATAAAAAAATCTGACTGAGGTGCCAACCCTTTCCCATCTAAAATGAAAAGAACATTTAGCTGGAGTGTCACATTCATAGAGTTGAGGCATAGCTTTCCAGCAAAATGCATTAAGGCAATGGACACACCCTTGCCCCAGTTATGTAGACGGTTAAACATTTATATTCCCAGAATTGCTTTTTTTTTTATATCATTACTTTTCCTTTATACTGGATATTCAAAATAACAAACAGGATACCTGAGAGATACAATGGTTTTAGTGCAGGATAACACGTTTGGTAGTAAAATAGAACCTTTTCATAGATATCTGTACATCAGACCAAAAAGAGGGACAACTGAGGTAGAAAGTGGGACAGAAGGATTTGGTTCCATGTAGTTAGGAGGTATGACATCAAATAATGGAAATAAGGAGCAAACATTCTGGAATCTATCAGATCTTCTTTGTATAACATATACTATAAGTAAGAATGTTTCTCAATGTTTGAACAGACTTTTCAAAACAGACTTTTTGCTTATCATAAATTGTCCCTCACATTCCCCTATTCTAAAATACACACTTGAATCCAACAGACAAAATTGTTTACTGATTGCAGTTGCATGTTGGTCACAACTGCACACCCCTGGGATGCGGCATAATATTATGGGCACACTTTAAAGGATAGTTGGTTGGGGGTCAGAGGGACAGATTTATCCCAGGCAGCACCTATTCTGTATGAATAAAGGACAGCACTAAAAATGTTGAGGGTGTCTATTCAACTGCTGTACCTAGTTGATATATGGCTTAGTGAATAGTCACTCTTTATAGAACCCATATCGCTGTAAATGTTTAAAGCCCACATAAACATCCATTTCACATATTTCACTGCAAGCTTTTAGGAGAGAACAATTACAGGATCCAATGTTTTGCATCTGTTGCTGTACCAACATACCTCTATTTTCTTTCGCAAAGTTCTCTTTTACAGCTGTCATGTTTCTGTGCCGCATTGTAATGGTCCACCAGAGACTAAAGCTTGCTCACCATTTTAACATGCATGTATCCTGTAAGGCATAATACTTATGTTCATATGTTTCCTATAATATGGACAGTATATGTTGTGACCTGTTTTCACTTTGAATGTAGTTACTTACAAGCAGTCATGTAACACAGGCACCTTTCTCCATGGAATTTCTCCAGAGGACATGGAGCTCTAATATGCCAATAGATGTATATCTCCTGAGCCTTACTACTGGCCATGAATGGTGCCCATCATGAGGAGAGACCAACAGTGATTTGGGGGGGGGGGGGGGGTTCGGAAAGGCAAAATTCTGATATTGGTTGAGACACTTCTGAGATCATTCAAAATGTGTTGATCCACATCTGACTTCAATCTCACCTGCAGTTGACTGGCTTTAGGCCACTTTTATGTTACCATAGACTTGTAGGGAAGAGAAGCAAATCTCAAGTAAACAAAAGCCCATTTACACAGGCCATAACAGTTATTTTTACCTCCAGCAACATGCAAGACATCAACTGTGGAGATATTGGTAGTGACTGTGGCCCAAGAAGAGTACTTTGTTTCATGCTGCCCCAGATAAGGCACCATCTGCAATAAAACACCTTCTTGAAAGATTTATACGCATATATACCGGCACCATAAAAATAATAAATGTACAATTTACTCCGCAGACAGCAGAACACTCTATGCATCATGTTTTTATACTTTTTATTGATAAAAACTACACAAAAGCTATAACTGATCATAATAGTATTAAAAAAAAAACAATTGATACTTTCTTTTGTGATTTGAGAGTGTTTGTCAATAAAATCCAAATCAATCTGGGATCATTATTCCTTATATAAGCCTGTCTCCTCCGTAGAGCTTTCATGGCTCTAAGCCCCCAAAGCTACCATGATTGAAGCTGGTCTTTCCTAATCACTGCCCCCTTATGGATGGCAGTCTAATAAAAAGCAAACCTCTTTAACAGGAAAACAGGAAAGAAACACAGTTCAAAGAGATCCACTGGGTTATTCAACATGAAACAATAAGCATTCCCTAACCCCCGAAATCCCAACAGTCTCCCATGTTTGGTTCATCTGTATTGGAACCATGCAACGTGTAGAAAATAGGAAACCAAATGTACAAGCAGATTAAACTCCCGTTTGCAGCTGGAATGGATCCAAAACTAGTTAAGAAATCCCTTAGGTGGATCCAGTTTTAGGTTCTATTTTATTTAAATTTACTTTTTTTTTCTTTTTATACACCAGTGGGGTTTGCATAATCCTTTAAAGCCAAGATAAACCCCTTGCTTTTCTCACATCATCGTTTCAAGTTCCATGGCCCTGAAGGCTGAAATGGGTCCCATGCTCAAGCTGTTTAGCTTAGTGTATTATTATTTTTTTTTTTCTCTTGTTTATTGTAAGAGCACATAGCATTTACAAGGTGCTCCTATCAGCTTTGATCTGTATAGGTCCTCTATGCACTTCTTCCAAATGTCACAATCCAAGACTCCAGATGTTATTGGTTTGGTATCCTTTCAATGTATATGGCAGGTGCTGCTGAGCAAGCTATTGTCGAGATGTAGCTCTGGTCCCTACTAAGCTCTAGGTTGGTGGCTTCTCTTTGCTCTTGAGATGTCCCATCATAGCCCTTATTTACAAGGAGGGTCTTGTGGGTCTGGCAATATCCGACCATTGGCTGGTCATAGGTATAGAATGGTAGAGTCTTTATCTGCCGGGGAATCTGTACAGAGAGAAAAAAAAATCAAAATGAATCAGATATATGTTCTAGGAAAAGCTGTCTAATCTCGCACATTTATTACATCTATAGTTCAACCCAAAATCGATTTCAGCTTCTTATATACAGTTTGTATCCTGTTGGTGTTGGAACCAATAAAAATTGACATCTATGATACAGCTTTGATGCAAAGGTGTTCCTTGATATCCTGAACTGAATCAGCACGTGGGTGTGAGATACGCAAATGAGGACCATCAAAGGGTTCTTGGGGCTGGACACTGATGTATGAAGATCTGCCAAACTGTCATCTCCTGGGGCAAGCACGACCCTGCTGGTATTTACTGGCCACACCTGTGTCAGCAAGGCAGCATACATGTTGGGATGGGGGCAGGGGCATATGATGGAACCTTCTTCCTGTGTGATCATCTGCACAAACCTAGCTCACAAGCACGAACAATGGTAACCTTGGTGACCTCTTGGACAAGACAAGTCTTTCTGGACTCTACAATCAAGAATGTGATTCGTTGAGGCCTGCTGGAGAGGAATGTTCTGAGCACTGAGAAAAACTCATGGCATGTGTGAATGGTGTGACTAGCTGAAGGATCCTAACCTCAATTCCTTTCCCTACTGACCCCCTCCAATTCCCTTAATTGTAATTATAATGTATGTATATCCCTATTTGTAAATAAACCCAACACGTATTTAAGATTCAGTGGTTCATCAGTAATTTAAGGCACCCTCAAAGCAGATCACATTCTAAAGTTGGCTTCTTTATATTTACTGAGAACACCAGCAGTGGAATGTCACAGTTAGAGTTCCCAGCAACATTTCATGCCAAAGGTTTTGCAAAGATAACCAGGGACGATTCAACTCCCTGTGCTGAATCCCTCAAAAACTAGATAGGGAATTCAACAGTGATAGCGAGAGCACCTGTAATGACCCTCGGGGTTATGACTGGACTCTCAACTGCGGAGTGCACTAGTTAGATGACGGGGGTCAGTTATGATTCCTTCCTTCACACTCCCTCTAGTGGTTGATGGAGGTTTTGGAATCAGTATACATCATTCCCTGTTACGTTGTAACCTATGAGTGTGATACGAACAGATGAGTGAAAGAGAGTGTATACAATATGCGTCTCCACTTATTCCCGCATAAGTTAAGGTGGGCCCTGTGCTGCGAATCCCCCTCAACACACCTGCAACCACAGCGCAGCAGGCTTGCAGGGCCTTATGAGAATGCAACACACAGTACACACAGCTTAACTACAGCGGTTCTAAGTAACTCAGGGGTTTAGTTCAAGGTATTGGCTGAATGAAGTCCCAGCAATTGTTAGGCAATACTTCCTAGCAGTGTAGAGTAACTTCCCCTTCAAGGATCAGCAGTAACAGTACATAGCTATAGTTCCAGCAATGATATCAGCAGTTAATTGGTTAACAGTCAGCTGTAGCTTAAGTGAATAGAGACACAGGCTGTGATAGCTCTCCCCTAGAGATCTGAAGTCCACAAGCTCTGTGACACACATAAAGCAGTTCAGTGTACTCCAGGCTTAGTGTTCTGAGCAATGTCAGCAAGTCATCCAGATATATGTTGAAAAGTCATAAACTACTTGCGCTTTTGGGGAGTCTTTGGTGGGTCCTTTAGGTGCAATGGCTGTAGCGGTCTCTCCTGGTCTTTGTTCAGCGTGCACCGTTCACAACGGTCGGACGCTGAACAAACAATCTTGCTCCCTTAAATCCCTCCTCGCCGAGCACCAAGGGGAGGAGCTGGGTCCCGTCCATGACGTAGCTGAAGGGGTGGAGCTGGATGCCGTCTTGGGCGGCCCTGAAGAGGTGGAGCTAGTTGCCGTCCTGGACGGCCCTGAAGGGGAGGAGCTGGCTGCCGTCTTGGACGGCCCTGAGGAGGCGGAGCTAGTTGGTGTCCTGGACGGCCCTGAAGGGGAGGAGCTGGCTGCCGAGCTGGCCTTGCTCGGCCCCGCCAGGCAGCGCTGGACCGAGGATGGGTAAGTCGGTTACAGCACCTTATATTGCCCTTGACATATCGGTGGAATAGAAACTTCACTAGTGGTGTTCCCTGGAGATCTAACAAGGCAGTGAATACTTCAGACCACCACAGGACTGGTCCTTTAAAGTGAATCTGTCACATGTAAACAGGAGCAAAACATTGTAAAGCAAATTAAAACAGTATTTCAAATGTTAGGAAATAAAGAATTTTATGAATTACTTAAATGAAAACCGCAATAAAAAATAAATAAAAAGATAAACATTTCATTTTTGTATTTATTTTTATTTATAGAAGCCGATGAAATACTCTGACAAGAAAAAGTGATAACTTGCTGTTTGGCATCATAGAAATTATGGACACATATTAAACGGCTGAATATGCCATGTTGGGTGCACCAGTTACATAATTTCAAAAATAATCCAGGGTAATTAACTCTAAAATAGGAATAGTATGCTAGAATTGAGCTAATTATCCGGTATTTTCCCTCATTTCTTCTCATTAACCAATTACACAGCTTAGGCAGGTAGAAAGCAGGAACCCTCCATAGAATTACTGGAAGCACATACAAGAATCATATTGTGTCATGTTTTGTATTCAGGTATCATTAAAGTGATATTAAACCTTCAGATTGTTTAACATAAAACAATACTGTAATGTGTACCTTACTGTAATCCATGGTTGTTTCCCTTCTCTTTGCTGCTCTTCCTTTTAAATCTGTATCTGTTCTCATGCTGGGCAGAACTTCTGTTTTGCAGCAGACTGCCTTGTCTCTGGAATGGCTACATGGTGTCTGTGTATAGGCTGTAACCTGAGCCAGCACTACAGGAAGATGCCCTCAGCTGCAAAGGGAAGTTCTCCCCAAGCATGAGAAGACATGAGGATTTAAAAGGAAGAGCAGCAAAGAGAAGGGAAACTACCATGTATTACAGTAAGGCACACATTACAGTATTGGTTTATGTTAAAAAATCTGAGGGTTTAATGTCACTTTAAGCTCTATAATCCCATTTACAAACACACCTACACAATATGTATGAAACAAGAACAAGTCAGACCCCATCACTTTTATTACGTGCCATTTTAAATCATTCAATAAAACCTCTTGAATTTGCAATGATCCAGGGCTGTGGTAGATTTCTTTATTTCTTAATAAGTCAACTATAGGTTGCACACAATAGAAGAGAAATATATGTTCTGTAAGGCATGATGTACCTGCTTTCTTAAAGGATACCCATATGCTGACTGCCTTTCTAAAAGCTTGCCTGTCAAAACTGATCCCTAATTTCAAGATTTTGAAGTGATTCAAAATCTTTTTTTTTGCTTTCCCAATGCAGGGCAAACATGAGGTTCACTTTATTGCAGACTTCCACAGACTTACCTTTCTCTTGCTTCTCTGTTTCTCCAATGGGAGTGAAAGGAAAGCTCTATGTAAGCTACAAGATTATGAGTAAAACACGGATATAGACTTCCTGTTTGATAGGATTGATTGGCTCAGCATATGAGTGAGTCACATGTCCTTCCATACACCGAAGAACCATGTTATTTCCTTAGTCTTTGACACTAAGCCAAAGAAAAGTGCTGCTGGGCATGGGGTAGGAGTATGCTAACCAATAGGCAAAGTAGTTTGCTTTAAAATGTATCTAAAGCTAAAACATTATTTTTAGTTATGGGTAGGATGGTGAAGGGTTAGAGACCCTGTGAAGTGCCCATAGGGCATTTACCCATTATTTTTAATTTGTGACCCTCGTCACCAGCACTTATTCTGGGACAATTATTCTGGTAACAACTGTTTAAAAGGGAAGTTAGTTTACTTTTATCTTCCTGTGTATCTATGGGACAGAAAGTAAATATATTTCTCTTTAATGGAACAAAGTTGGCAAAAAATAAAACCTTTTTTTTTAAATCATCCTCCACTTTAATCAAAACAAAATAAAGATATTGTGTAAGTCAGGGGTAGGAAATCTTGGCACTCCAGCTGTGGTGAAACTACATCATAACTCTGTCTGTGGGAATTATATCTGTGGCTGTCAGAGTCTTGCAATGCCTCATGAGATTTGTAGTTTCATTACAGCTAGAGAGCCGAGGTTGCCTACCCTTTCTTTAAGTCATTGATGCAGAACAAACATACAGCAAGTGAAGTCATATCTCCCGATCTGGATGTTACTTCTGGGTCGGGCACTCAGGAGGGAGTGGATGATGGCCAGGGAACTAGCCTTTCCAGTAACAGACTTCAACAATTGAAGTTTTAAGTATTGTTCAATGTACAGGTTTGCTTTAAACAATACCACCTGGCATTCCATGACTGGTATAAAACACACTCAGCCTATAACCTTGTGCATCAAATGCTCATGGAACTTCTCTATAAACTAAAATGTTTGTTTTACAACACGCTAGGTTTACATAATGTGTGTATGCCATCAGTAAAGCTGTACACATTTCACCCTTGTCGCCCATTGGTACTAAGCCTCATTCCACCATTAGAATACTTCCTTTTACAACTTCCTTATCTTTTCCAAACAGATCCCTGTCCATTTTTTTAAATTAGCAACTGCCTCACACTCTGAAAAGGAAATATATTCATATTTTAATAATGGTTTAGTAAGACCCGTGAAACTAATGCAGAAGAGTTTTGGGTGCTAGTAAACAACATTAATGAAGATTTTTTTACAGGTTTCAAAGAGGGGGCAGAGCATAGATATTCTGGAATGGGATCCATTAAGGAATGCTGTAAGTTTTCTAGATAAGCGACCTTACTTTAATATGAAGCATCCAATACCAGTCACATGTAAAATGTTAATGGTTTTTTTTTTCCATTTTAATTTTTCCCTATATACACTGAGTGGCCAGATTATTATGACCACCTGACATTTGTAGTCAAATAAGCTATACTTAGCTATAATTTCGCGCTGAAATTGCTAGCGGGCCAGACCATTATAAATAGGGAAGCAGGTTGTTTACCACGACAGTAGAAGTGATTTTTTTCTGAAGATACGGGTAAACAACACGAT